GTTCCAAAGAGTTTCTACCGATTGTCATGGAGCATGTTAAGCTTCGCATTGCCACTAAAATGCACATTTAATACTATTTCGAAATAGACTTATACGTATTTAAGGTAAGTTTTTATTTTATTTGCCCTCTCGATTAGTAATTGACCTCATATGAAGAAATTCGAAGCCTCTATTTCAGCATCAGCGTTTAAATTCTAGGATCATTTAATGGATTACTATTATCTGAAGTTCTAATAATGATTTATTTATATCAACTGTCAGGCGTTTTGATAATTATCATTAGCCCTTTAGTTTAGTTCAGGCTTCACAAAGAGAAAGGAACACCAAAGTGAAAACAGTCGAGAGGGGGGGGGGAACAGAAGAGTGTTTCACAGATATAAAAGAGATAGACACAAAGGTAGAAAAAAGGTGAGGTGAGTACTGTAGAAATAGTCAAATATGGCATAGAGTGAGATGATGGTAGTTTGAAGTGAGAAGTCAACTGCCAGTCAATAGACTTTTTTGCCGTATGAATATACGTTGCCCAGGGTGCACCACGTGGAGGTAAGTCTATCGCACACCCCACATTTCTAATAATGATAAAGAAATAAACTTGAATTTCGTATATGGTAGTAATGTGTCATACGCCTAGTTGTAATTATATGCGTGAACGATTGTTATACATTGATGAGACTGAAGTAAGCACAATAAAAAATCCTGGTTTATTTATTTATTTATCATTTTTCTCACTTTTACCTAAGAATGCTATTCTATTGTCCAAATTTTGGTCACACCCTGATAAAATACCACAATTTAATTTCTTACGTACTGGGTATTTCCATTTTACAAAGCCCACTCGGCTATGTCGTTTCAATTTGTGTACGTCCTATGTTATCAAAGAGTAGCATCTTCATTAAAGGAATTTAATTTAAAGTAACTTGCGACTCGCGAATACCATATGACATTGGAACATTCTCCATAGAGATGTTTAGTAACGCCTTCATATGCATTCAAGCTACTCAAATAGTATTCAGCAATCATCATTCTCTTAAACACGCATTTGATGTATTTAGCTGAATTATGTTTGCACGGTATTTTAAAGACAGACCAGAAACAAGATTTCAATCATTTCTCCCTCTCCTTCCCCCACCCCCACCCCCCGCTCTCGCATGTTGCGTCATTTGCCTTTAGCTCCGTTGTTTGTGCTTTTTTGTTCACTTCAAATTTGTTTGGATTTCTCAGTCAATCAAACCTGCTCTTGGAAGGCCATAAATTGTGTATCCGTATGCAGTCATCAAGCTTGTAAACGATTTACCCATGCCACTTGAAAAGCTTGCTAATAACTGACTTATTGTTTTCCTGCATTATTTTTTCTTTCAACTGGGTTTGTCGTCTAAAAAAAATTGATTGATGTAATAGTTTTGGACTCTAACGCTTGTTTTAAAGAGAAATTAAAGAAATCTATTTAAGAGATATACAGAATTGGATAAAAAGTCAGCCAAAATTTATCATAATTTCAATTAAAACCAAAGTCCTCTTTAGATATTATAAAGCACTTTATTGACATTCGAATGCGATGAATTCAATTCAATCAATTAAAATAGAAGTCTAAATTCGCACAGAGCATATAATTTTCTAAAATCAGTCACAATTTTATGCATAGCTTATTTGAAAATAATAATTCCCATGCTTATTACCCATTGTAATAAAGTAAAGGTTTGTAAATCATAAGCAAAGGTAGGGACTGAAGTTACTGGTGAGTAGAAGAGCTTTAATTTTTTTCGTTTCTGAATCGAAGTTTCTTAATATTTACTTAATAGACATTATACTGTTACAGATTCAAGAATTTAAAATTAATTATTAGTGATCAAATTAATATTTATGATGCCTATTATTTACTGATCCATTGGTCACTCTTGCCATTTCAAATCATATTTTTTCTTTCAGAGGCTGAGATAACAAAACGTTCCTAATTGATATCATGGCGATCACATGATCTTAACAGATCCGACGTGTAGCTATGTAATTATTTTAACGTATATAATAATAGAATTATCACTCTTATTACTTTACTTCAGTATTGCATTGTCCTCAAATCCCAAATGATCTTGAGGGCGGAGGTCAAGTGCGGTACTCTCTTCAGACCCATAACGATGCAACCGGAGCCACTGTGGCTATCGCAGAGGCCGCCTGCCCACCCAACACCTTCTTCTTCCCCTCCGCCAAAGCCGCTGAAATTGAAGCAACCAATGAAATTATTCCTTCACCTACTCCAGAAAACTTGGGTACTCTTCAAAATCAGCTTTTACTCACTTGTGATCATCATTCTAACACGTGGGTACCCTCTCTACCAGCGGGCGGCTGTATGACTCGTAAGTTTGTAGATCTCTATTTTTATTGACCATAATATTTCATTTTGACATTCAACTCGTGGATTATTAAATCAGAAACGAGTGTGATTGTTAAAACACAGATGTAATCGAAATAGGAATATAGAATTATGGTATTTCTGAAAAAATATTGACTAATACAGTTAGCTTTAGAAACAAGGGAATTCTAAGGAAGTGAAGCATGATATAAGCGCATAGCGCGGTTAAACTGTATTGAATAGAATAAACACTTCCTCCATGAATACTAATGACTTCAAGAAATAGTAGAAAAATTCGACTGCTATTTATCCTCCTCTTAAAGCTATACTGAAAATGTCGAAACTCTAGTTTATGGAATCCATCAATTTCGATCGGGTTTAAGATTATATTCTAAGGTTAGATATTACCAAAGGGACATTGTTTTCGTTCTTCATATAATTGTGAGTGGTTAAGTTTGCAAATCTCTGAAAAAACGCGACCTTCACTGGGCACATTCTCTATGACATAAATTCTACGTACGCTCAAGAGAAATAACTAAGAGGGAAACATTGTAGTCTGAAATTTCGTCATGAGTAGTTCTCTTTCTGCCATCTCTTGATCAGTTTTGATTAGTTGAGAATTCTTGATTCCGTGACTGCTAAGCCCTTTGTAGAATATATATATGAGTTACTGTTTGCAATCAGATGAGTTCTTACTTGAAATACATATTTAAATAGTAGTGTTTTCTCGTTGTTGATGGCGTAATTTACTTTCATCTAAATTACTGTCATTCTGTTCATTAATTGTTCTTCAATGGGTATTGTCGAAATTTTATAAATACCGCATTTATCACTTACCTATTCATAGCTCTCGAGTATTAATCCTGTAATAATTCATATCTTTCGTTTTAATTTATAGCCGCGGATGAGATTTGACAAAAAGAGTGTATCTTATAGGTAGACCTGGGTCATTGAAAATGCAAAAACGTGATTTTCTTCTAAGCAGAAGATGGGTACATTTGACAAATAGATAATTTTATCGGCGACAAATCTTTACTTCAGCGAACTGGTAACTGGTTCTTTTAAGTAATATTGCATATTAAGGGTAAATTTTTATTACTTGGTGTTTTGGCTATTTCGGAGAACCATCTGGCTGGAAACTGAGAGATAACAAAGTCAACAAGCGGTAGCGCAGGCGAACCAGACCTCAATTTTTTACAAAATTCGTCTCAGATTTGTTTTGAAACATTGTTTTTCTTTCCGTCTGATCCACCACGTTTGAGACTGTGAATATGTTTGAGATTCTGCTTGAATTAGCTAATTTAGCAGTGATGCCTTTTATTTGCCGATAGAGGAAATAGCAGTAACAAAAGATTACACTGTTACTCGGTACTCACTTAAGTAACAGAATCTTGTCCAACAGGCTTCGAAATTCGGCCTCCCCCCTCCCCCGGAGCTTAGAGTATTTCATATATTGGAAAAGGTGTCATGCACAGAATGGTATATCTATCTTTCCCAACGGCCGAATATGTCTCAAATTTTGTCATTGGGCGACTCGTGTGTGTAAAGTGCAAGCATATGATTGAAGACCTAAGTGTACTTTACAATCTTAATTATAAAATAGGGAGCTGATTTACAAGTGCCTTTATCCTCAATGATTATGCCATATTTTTGAAATCTGTTCAAGATTATCTTGTGTTTCAACATCAAACGAACACGGACTGATTATTCCAGTAAGACATTTGAATGATTAAATAAATTGTCAGCTGGACGGTTCCCAAATTAATGGATTTAAGCATTGCATACTCCTTAATGTCATACATCGTTTATGCCGTCGTGACACATTGAACTTGCAACGCTTTGAGAACTACATGCAAGGCCTTAATGAGATTCCAGAGGAGAAATTTTTATCTAGCGGGATAAATTTGGCAATTGGGGAGGGAAATCACTCTTACTCAAATATTATCGTAGTTAAGTTATTATTTGGGCAGCTGGAGAGTCTTGACCAATACACATTCTACCTGCCAACTCAGTATCCGTTTACGATTCATAGGATGCACTCAGGCCTCTTACTCTTCATTGTGTCTAGAACTGCTCATGTGGTATTGCGCTAGTTGCAGTATTTTCTCATTCAAGAACATAATGTTCATATAAATATTAAACTTTTGTTTAAACACATTAAAAAATGCAACGAGTTAATTGAAGACAAACTTTGATTTCACGCCTTTCTTCATTGTTTAAGTAACTGCACAAATTTTAGTCTCAAGCAGGATTACACGTTTTAAGTTTCATTTAAAGACTTCGTGTAAACAAAAAGAAGTGTAAATTTGTTAACTAAAGAGTGCAATAAAAGAACGAGAAATCGTTTATTGATTTGACATTCAATGAATTACCTACACTGCTTCATTATTTACTTTCACGAATCCTTGGGAAAAGTATTCCGTTTCATTTTCTTAATGAAATATTTAAATCACCATCGTGAGAGAGTTGACCAATGAACTTCTAATTAATTCCCGAATAATGCACTTTGCTAATTTAAAATCTAAATTACGGTAAAAAGGAAGCGGCGGATTATTATTAATCAAATCTCGATAATTAGCAGAAAATACAACTGAGTTTTTTTCTCTCTCCGTTGACAATATAAATGTCAAAGGGATTAAATTACCTACGTAGTAACTTGAGATTCATCACATTATATAATTGTGCTAAATTAATGTGCTTAATGCCTCCCATCCCTTCTTTTGATGATGTAAATAACAGGGGCTCGAATCAGCGCATTGCTGCAAGAATTGGTGAATTCAAAAATGCCGAAAACAACAACAACACTGACAGCGGATGTAGCCACGGCTTCACCGGAGGTGACCTTGATGAATGCAACTGAGGTTGAGGAATCAACGACGCCTGCTGCTGAGGCTGAATTGGAATCTTCAAATATTACCACGCCGGAGATACCTATATTTGTTGGACCGGAAACTCCAGCTGCAATTTTAAGTGAAAACGTTAGCGATTTTCTAGAAGGTACACACCTCTCCCATGGATCTTCAGGTTAGCGTCAAAATGTGTCAACTGATTAACCTAACATACTTTTTAGAAATGCCGTCGCGTATCTTGTGGCGAGTGGAAATTTTTTTGTCAGATTTGATATTATTTATCGGTTTAAAGGGTAGCAGTAAGGGTATAATTTAGAATTGATTTTAAATATAACGTTTGCATAAGATGTCAAGCAATATATGAAGTGCGGTTTCACTCCCGAAATCAGTGAGTTCTACCTAACTCAAGTTCCAATTAACGACTTTTATCGTTTGAGTATTTTAGATAATTACTTTCGGATAAAAGGGGGCATACGGTTGACAAAGGGATTAGATATTTATCTTCACGAATGAGTGTTCGAATTTGCCTACGTTTCCGTAAACTTACACTTCGCAAACCGGTACACACTTTTCTGGTGGTAGAAGGCGTACACCCGAATACGAGATTGGATGATTAAGCCAGTCGCATCCTTAGAGTTCAAAAGGCGTAATATGTTGTGACTTTTTTAGTACAATAATGCAAGGGATCGCACGAAGAAAATACTCCTAGTCAAGTTCGCAAAACTTCTATCGCAACTGACTAGATGTACATAATAGACATGTCTGAGAGTCAGGGGATTATTTGTACTGAAGTCGACATATCCCTAAAGGAATTCATTGTGTGGTTCAACATTAAAAACCTATAACTAATGGATAATATAGGGTGCGATTTACATCTCTTGCACTATAACCCATGAAAAATTGTGATCTGCTTTTTACAGAACTATAACCTCTATTTTACGCCAAGAGCAATTCATAAAAATTTCACTTTGTTTTGCTTTAGTTCAAATTAATGACAGAGGTTGAGTCTAAAAAAGGCGTAAAGTAGATTTCGAAATGCTGAGTCATAGTAAAGTTAGGCAGCGGGGTTCACTTGAAGAAAAAGTATGGTAAGATACCCTGGGTAACGCCGCATTTTAAGTAATAATAGGAATCCAGAAATTTAATCACAAAGAAGGAGTAATATCGTGGGAATGAATTCGCGCATTGTTATAGTCGCAGAAGTGCGTTTGATTGATGGGAAATTTAATTTTTGGCATTAAACAACCTTTTCATTGCAGTTGATATGAGCCCGCTTATAGGGCAAATCCCAACAACCTTAAAGCTATTAATCAGTATGAGACTTTGCTCACGAGGTATGTTAACGATAGATAGATAATTGAACTTCGTTTCATTGCCACACAGACGAATACTTATTCGTTAGTCTAATGAAGTAGTTTGGCTTAATTCCCATCAAAGTAGCAATAACTCTAACATACGTTGATATACACAATTCATTTATGAGTCCACGAAGCGCTTTCTCATTATTAAAACTACGACAAGGAAAATAAATGAAATGGTTTGCTTTGTGCTCACTTTGCTTCTAAACGAGGTAAATTTTTTTCCTTCCAGGTGCATTCATAGATACTGCCAATTAATTCAAAAATCGATTGCAACAAAGTAATTACTGATAGTTGAGCAAAGGTTTCTGTAGCTGGTTTACAACTACTATCTTTTCTAAACTTTTTGAAGTAAATTTAATATGTGCGTTTTTGAGTAATGCTACAATGACAATTTTGCTCACGATATAGCTGTTGGACAATCCATTATGAAACATATTTTACCATGCTATTCGAAGACAAATCACTTTACAACATTAAGGATCATCATCATGCTAACAATGTTAATTTTATTACTTTAATAAAAATTTGAGAAATGTGGAGAATTAAAATTGGGATCAGAGTTAAAAATGAAAGCTCATTCTGTCTGGATTGTGATAAACAGACCAAATCATTATAAGTTATGCTGTTAACTTTCTTTAGCCATAAGAGCAATTGTGGTAGTGCAGTCCAAACAACGATTTATTATAGAACATGTCAAAAAGTAAGAGATAGCGGACCAAAATACAATGAAGGGTGCAAGAATGAATGGAACCTACTACTTTGCCATATTGACCTCTTTCGTCTCCCGCTGTATCGGCTCAGGCCCTGATTTCTTATTGGTTAACCTTAACCCTATGCTGGTGTATTTTTACTTTCTTAGAGGATGTATGGAAACAAAGTTCCCCACTGTCTGCCATTCTATCATACAGGTTTTCGTGTTGTCAGTTGCTTTAAAACTGACTAGAATGGCTACTATTTAATCTAATTACGATTTTTCATCAGTTTGTTGGTTTACACAAACAGAGTAAGCATTCGAATTAACATGAATGTCTATGCGTTGGAAAAGACTCTATAAATATCTTAATTTGGGAGGATTTGACTTACCGATGAATAGCTGCATTATATCAAATCAATTTTTTAGCAACAGAATTCCAAAATTTTAACTGAGGCATTCTCAGTTCCAAGTTACGAAACTTTAATCAATTCCAAAACCTTCTTTAATACTGCATCAAAATCTATTCAAATTAGAAGTCGGGATGAGAACTAAAATCATCCACTGTGTGGAAAGAATATTCTTTAAAGAATGCTTTTACCGTAGTTTGAACAGAAAGATAATGATGTTTATAAGAATAATGGAATGCAACCCGGTAAATGAGCAGGGTACTTAATTTAATGCAAGATGAAAATCCTATTTGGGCTAACAATAGTGCCGTCAGTACAACGTCAATTTCTCATCGATTTCCTCTGTTATCCCTGTTAGTTTATGGTAAATGCCTTACTCATGAATGATTGATTATAAATAATCCAAAACTCGCCTTTTCTCATGAACGACCTTTCTCTATCGCAGGACCAACTTTTTTGTTCAACAATGTTGTTCAATCTTACTTTATCGAGAAATGGCATAAATGAAAAAGTGGCTGTATTCCATCCATAGAAGAAATAGTTTTGAGTTAGCATTTCTCGGAGCCATTTTCTACCAAGAGAACAATTAAGCTATCTGTATATTGCGCATTCTACACAATTAACGAGTTTACAAAGAGTTTTTCAAAATTATCTTTATTTTACACTGATGTATTCAATCCATTTTGGTCTAAAAGTTTGGTTCTTAAGTGTGATTTCAGCAATAGAGGTATACTCTTCAAAGTTAACATTTACCTAACGCCAGGAAGATGAAACTCGAGAATGTTAGTAAGGAAAAAGAGCATTTTTGAAATTTTAAGATAATTAAGATTGTCTCGTAGAGCTAATGAAGGTGAGTGACACTTAATAGTCACTTAATTATGCCATTTAGCCTACCCTCTATAGTGTTACAGAACTCCTCGCCATTTAGTAGATTCAACTTCTCTTGCATATAACCTATTCAATACTATGCATGACAAGAACTCTTTTCTTATCTCTAGCTGCAATGGGAGCCATCTTTGGATTTCTATTCTGCTTACTCGTTCTCCTTATCATTCTATTCATCTTCCGCCAAAGGTAATTTATTTTCAATGCGAATTTTAGTCTATTTATATCATTGTCGTTTTATTACTATCGGTCAAGTGGTATTATTAAATAGGCGTAATTTACTTGTCAAAATAGGGGGAAACAATTTTCGGTTTAAATGTTTAACAGTTGGATAAATTAGTTAGATTTTGTGCACTTTTAAGCAAACATTGGAATATTCATTTTAAATTGTAACCTTTGCAAATATCCTGCACACATTTTAAACCTGCGTTGCAGGCTCTCCAGACTAGTCCGATCAAAACTGGCACCCAGCAACACTCTTCCCGGCAGATTCCCAGGATCAGGAATGTTTATGAACACTCTCTCGGGGTCTCTCACATTCTCCCGTCACCGAAAGAATCCATACTTCTCGCCCTCCCATCATCCCACGGTCCTTATGTCTCAATCGGCCGTTTCCATTCCAAATCACCATCTCGTACCACAGCAAACTCAGCCCTGGTTTGACAACGCTTCCCTCAGACCCACTTCTAATGCTGTCTCCCTTGGCAATCTCCACATTCCTAAGTCTCAACCCCTTCCTCGTCCATCTCCAACGCCCATTCCTCCTCCTGATCTTGACCTATTGAACTCGGATACTTACACAATGCAACAGAGTTACCAATTTTCCAACCATCAACAGCAAAGTAGACCGCAATCCTCGGTGCATACGCAAAACTCAGCGTCTATGAGTACTAGGAGGCAGACCCTCCTGTCTGCTGATACCATGACAACTAATGTGTCGGCAGGTGGACAGCCTTCACCAAGCATTGCTCTGGGCTATCATGGGGTATCGACGGATGTTCTCGGTGAAGCTTTTACTGAATCTCCGGATGCTAACCAGGTTCGTGTAATGTTTGAATTGTCTTTAGGAGATAGTGCTCTATTATGATATTTGCAATGCAAGTAGCCAATAAATTTTAAAAATCAATACCCGTTTATTTTTTGCAGGTACATTTATTTGTGAGATATATTCGATTTATCAGGAAAAGCGATGGGAAAGTATAATTTCGTGAATATTTCCAAAAATATACACTAGTTAGTGATTTTAATTTAATTTCTGTGATGCGTACTTCATGTTTATGTAATATGTACCACTGTTTCTTTAAAAGATACTTTAAAGAAATTGTCTTTGAAATTTAATCCAATTTTGATTATGCATTCTGATATGTGGCAGTTCTTTGAGGTTAGGATTTGTGCTTCTGGGACGCTTTCATTTATCTTTCAGCCATGGAGCCTTTTAGTCACATCAAATATTTGCCTAACTGATATGTCCCTGTCATGACTTTGTGTACTTATTTCTTATTTAATCTCTTATCATGCAATGTAACTGGGGAAATTTTTCACAGCGACCTGAAGCTACTGTCTGTTTCCTTTAAGTTGAACCGCGTGATTTCTTAAAAGTTTTCCTTTGGACAAGCAATCCACCTTATATGTTGTGTTCCTTAGTCTTACACTATTACATCTAGGAAATACCATTGGTTTAGCTTCTCTGTCTTTTATAAAGTGAACATAGATGACCAGGTTTTAGTTTTCAGTGTGTTCTTTGTGAATTTTCTGCATCATCATTTTCCAAATTCCAAAATTACCTTTGTCGTAGGAATCTTTCGACAAGTTTATCAATTAACCTTTGAAAAATTGTCTTCGTATCTATTCCAGATGTTAATCAGCATTGCCATTATTTCTGAACTTGAGATGTAAATATGAGACACGTGGGTAAAGGTAGTTCACAAATACTGTCATTAAATTATTCTTCCCAACTTTGACGTCGACTTGTCCCTTTCTTTGTCACGCTCAGTTGCTTCGTTTCTATCATCAGTTGTACAGCAGCACAGATCTTTCTGTTGGTTATTGGCTCAATATTGGCTTTAATATCCTTCTAATAAGAATATATTGAGTTTATAGCTAACTTCTTGAAGATTGAAAAAATGAGGGACCCGATTGTCTCTCTATTTGGTTAGAGATGAAAGTTAGTGCGCATGAAATGTGCGCATTAAATTTGGCCTGGTGTCGTGGTGGCCAACGTGAACGCTGGCCATATCAGAGGTCACAAGACCAGTACTCATTGGTGCACACCCATTTCTGTAGAGGATCAGTTACACGAGTTTTTCTTGCTTAATAAGACGCCTATTAGAATTCTGAACTCTTGTCCTAATGACTCCACCTTTCCTTTGACAACAGGTTGGTATCATGTGAAAAGAACTATCATAATTACTTGGAGTAAACGTAATTTGGTTTTGGCCATTACCATTCGCCCTAAAGGACAAATCAATGCACTATTTTGCGACTTACAGTTTGAAGTTTTTCGTTGTCTACTTTTTTGCTCGTTAGTTCTCATATCTTAATTTTCATCGTAAATTATGGATTGCATGGAATCAACTGAGATATTAACAATGATTTATCGCCAATTCAAATACTGTGTATAACGGCCCATTCAACGAAGTCAATAATGCATATTATTGGGAGCCGAATGTTACTATTATTTGATTTACTAACTATTTAAAATAATGAATGGTCATTTCTCTGTTAAGATCTGTTGCTGGAACTCCGTCTTAATACTTTTGGTACCCAGCAGGGCAGTAAGCTAATTTTTAAACAATTGCTGAGCCCATTTTACTAAGTGTTGTGGTTACTGTTTTTACACAATGTCACATAAACAGCGTCTGCGTAATTAGCAATATGAGAGGAAACAGCTACCACATTCCAATTCTGCTGTATTTTTGTCCATTCTTCTAAACCTACTCATTTCTTCCTATTTTATTGTGTTACCCTCGACAAATCTACAATTTCTCTATGTAAAATCTCTTTTGGATTTGAAAAAGAATTGTTTACCAGATAACCTTTAAGATTAACAGATTTTAAACAGTGGTATTGAGGAAAATGGCTTTGTTTGGGAGTTTTTAAGCTACTTTATCCTCATATCTCAAGTCATAAATACATCTTTCGTCACCCCATCTATGTCTGGTTTTCCAACGGTCATTGAATTTAATGTGCACATTAGCTTGTAACAGGAAAATTGCAACGTTTCAGGATTCGCATTTATATTTATTCATATGCGAGTGTTGTCGAAATTTCTTCTGTTTTTTTTTTGACTGAGTTGCAGATGAATTCACAATAGCTGCAGTCCCTTTATTTCTCTCATTTAATCAGAAAATACTGCCTCTGCTTTGTGAGAATTCTGCGCAATATAAAAATTAATATCAATGAATCACCATAGTAAATTAAAGAATAGAAATTTAACCATCATTAGTTTTGAAACGCCCAGTTTACTAACATTTAGAACGGTAAATGAAATGAGGTAAAACAGATGAAAAAATGTTAATTTTTTCGTTTGACTTTTATATCAGGGCTCATATTAGCTTCAAAGAAAGGTTATTTGAGTTCAGGTTATAAGAAGTGGTGAGAAATCACCTAAACTTAAGCACTTAATCAATCGATCATAATTTGGTAAAAGAACGAATTCTCTATTTATTGGTGGTTAAAATTAACCCAGTTCATTCTTGAGCTTAAATAACTGCTTAGTTACAATTTACATTCTTATATAAAGATTGTACTGTGTTTCAGGTATTCTCTGCCACCTTACCATGGAAATCTAAGCCCCAAGGAGGAATAACAGGTGGACTCAAGCGTCTTTCAACGTTCATTCGTTCTGCCATGACCGGATCTTCCGCCTCCTTCCACAGTCACCATAGCAGCCAGAGTGGTGGCAGTCACCCAGGTCAACAGATAGGGCCAGCGATGCAAGCATCAGGGCTTTTCACCAGGAGACAACAGTATGCCGGAAGTGGATGGCCATCGAGTTCCCTTGCATCATCCGCTACACCTGGGACCAATTCCATGGGGCTCTTAAGTTCTGGACAGTCAAGATCTAGCTATACTTCTGAAGCAACACTTCAACCGAGTAGGTCATTGTTGTGTGCACAATCAGTAGAGAATACAGATTTCAATTGTTTGAGATAGTTAAAGTCAACACAAAACCATACTTATGCCCTATCTGTCTAGAATATTTTCCAGAAATTGAATTGGGCTTAGGAGACTGTTGGGTTGCCTTCTTTTTAATAATTTAGCAATATTTACCACCTCAGTTAAAGTGACAAAGGGCTGTAACCTCGTTTGACAAGTATTCATATTAATTAAGCAGTTATTTGTCATCATAAGAATACACGTCTTTACATGTCTGATTGTCTCGGCAGAGGTATCAATCATCATAAGAAGGTGATTTGCACTTAGATAATGATGTTGGCGGTGGAGAGATATTTGTAATCCCCTGAATACTTTACTTACCTGAATGGAGTTTTTATCGTTAATAAAGGAGAAATTCGAAACATATATTTGCTTTATATGCTAAACGACCACTTTATGAACACTTTTGATGGAAATTAATATTATACACCTAACATTAGAGACGAATGATGCTTATCTATTGAACTTAAGTCTAAAAGTTTTCTTAAAGTATAACCAGTAAGAGGTTGATCCCTGAGATACGTGGTTGTATGTTGTGTTGCTTTCTAGTCACGGCAACCTCGAGCTCTGCATTGTAGTGCTTTACTTCATGGCGTATTCATTTCACAGTGCTGTGGGAACATCGAAAAGTGACCATAGTCATCTTAGTCCGTAGATCATTCCGAATAATTAGGAGACAAGTTAGTCTTCATGATTCTGAAGAGCTTATTCATCACTCATTTTCGTTGTCATCGCGTATAGACATGGGGAAGTGGTTTAGAGTTTTAAAGTATACTATATCTAAACAACTTTAGTACCTCTAAAAATGAGCAAATGTTTTTCTGTAAAAGCTATTCTAAATACCCTTTAGTAATGTGCCTAATGGCTTAGTGTTCTATCTGCTTATCTTACAGATCAGAGGTCCTGAGTTCGATACCCATTTATTGACCCATTTACTTTTTGTCAGCAGGAGAGTTAGCATAATATTAAGTTTGCATATGGACAATTCCAATATATTCTTCCATTTTATATTAAAACCTTGGTTAAACTTACATTAATGGGCGTTAAGAAAATTTTTTAGAACATCGAGAAGTTCGGTCTTCGCTTATTTCAAAATGACAAATGATTCGGCCAGATTTTTTTTATTAACGAATTGAGCTTAGGAGATCTTGTTATTAATATAAATTTGACCTGGACTCTAAAGAAATTGTTTGAAAAAACATTGTGAAAATAAATATGAAACTATAATATGCCTACAAGTATGTTAATTCCATTGTTGCTTATTGCTGGGAGGAGGGGGAGGGGGTCTAAATTGACTCTCAAGATCTACAATTCGATTGCTAGAAAGAAGAAGAACACATGTTCTTTCTGTTACACTCCAACTTGAACTTTTTACAGTATGATGTAAATCATATCACTTTACATAAACACAGGCTCTCGAGAAGAAAGAGAATGAAAATCTGTATATAAAATCAATAGTAAATGGAGTATTCCTTCAAACCCTTACGAAACCAAGCCTCGAAAGAAAATGGAAAGTTTCTACATAGCAGTGGGGTGAACTTTTGTTGAGGAAGCTAAGGGCTATATCTGAGAACCCCTGGAAGGTTGCTCATCCAAGACTTGATTGAAAATCTTCAGTGAACGGGTAGAAAAAGACCAAAACTGTATTAATTATCCGAATAGGCCTATAAGTTTGTCGAAGGAAAGAACTTCGCTATTACTATTATATTTTCATTTTTACTTGAACTAGTTCCATATGAAGTTAGTCTTGCTTATTGACTCATGATCATGTCCTTACTTACAGGTTGAAATTCGTGAAACGCTTGTCACGCAGTCGTTGTTAAGTCTTCCTGAAGTGTCATTGATTGAAATTAGCATTTTCCTTTTCTGAAAAATCACTCATATTTATGTCTGTAATAAGGATGACACCCTAATAATCGACGTCCACATCTGATTAATGACGTCACTTATAATTTAGTTATGAGCGGGTATCCAGATTTTACAATTAAGATCTGACTCATCGAATAGGTCGATAATACGAATGACAAGGATATTGCAGATTGAAATTACCTTCTACCGTTAATTGAATTTAAGGAATTTTCGTGGTTATTCTATTATGTTTTCGAAAACGTTATGTGAAATTTATTCTCAACTGCAAATTTTGAATAACTCCTATTTTACGCAGTAGAAATAATATTAATGTACGCCCTAACATCAATATGCTTAACCATTAAATCTGATCTAATTTCTCATTACCTCAAATTTGTTTAAACTATTAGAAACAAGGGTTTCGTCCCATGCAGAATACAATACCAAAACCGTTCTTTACGTTTGCTCTCTTCCTTTAGTCTCGCCATTGAGTTCCCTGGGTCGAAGCAGCCTCGGTCACATAGCATCCGATCGAAAACCCCAACTCTGCCTCATGGATCCCTTCTTGTGCCGACTGAACCACCAACACACGAGAGGGGATCAGCAACAAGGCCCCGTGCTGACAAATGGAAATTTAGGAGGTGGAAGTATGATGAAAAGGGGAAATAGGGAGTCAACTCCCTTACCACCCCTACCTCCTCAGCATCCACATCATAGCAATAGTAATAGCAGTGGGCCAACCAGTCATTTACTCCAGAACCATGGAACAACGGTTAGACATGCTTTCACTAATTTTATCCTCCTAATGTCTGGCTATTGTCCAACAACGGCTTATTTTCAAGTTTTATGGCGATGTTCACATGCAAATGGTTTTTTTTCATTTTGCAATTTTTCCATTGGTAGTTCAGGCTTATAGTGGAAATATAATACATATCGAAAAATTCTTGGCAGTAAGGATTCGTTAAAGATCATTTTAAGATTTCTTGTCATTACATTATTTCGAAAATATTGACTATTAATTAAATGAGAATCGATTGATTTACAACTATCCAAAATAGGGGAGTTTGGAAAGACCTTTTCGTGAAATCCATTTTAATCTAATTCTTCGTCAGCATTTTAACCCACGATGGTATATGAATAAAGAAGTATGCGGATGGTAATCTAGCAGCAAATAAATTCGAGACGAAAACGAAATATGGAAATCGTACAACTCTTTTGAAATTCCATATTTCAATGAAATTTAATATCCGTTTCAATATTTAATTCATTATGGCTTAAACTCATCAATTCCGTTGAATACCTTTCACTCTACTTTGAGTCTCATTGGATGAAAAATTGTACCGCCTAAAGTTTCTTTATTAATTTTGAGTATCCTAATAAATCAAACGTTTAACTGTTTAAAGCGCACACATATATTTAGTTAAATTGCTTTGAATATTAATTCCGCCATCGAATTATGGATCCACTATCTTCCAATAAGAACTTTAGATCCGATTAGTAGTAGAATAACTGAATCAAAAAAATCAAATTAACAGCTTCTCTTTTACCTCAGGTTTGTCTAATCATAGTGCGCTATTAATTTTTCAAGATATTCGCGTTAAAGATTTCGTAAATTTAGCCATCAGGTCTATTTGTCTTTGAACTAAAAATAGGGAGATTGAAATTTCTTCAAACAGTTAAACTACAGAAACAATTTTGGTAACATTTTAGGTACTTGAAAACAAGGGAAAAACAGGGACACTGAATATGGACACATATTTGGAACCAATCGATGGGGCGGACACAATGGGTCAGCAGGGTACAAACGCAGGAGTGGAAGATTTCTCTGTTACTGAAATCATTTCTGGAGGAACCCTCTCCGAAGGTGATTTTGCTTTAAATTTCCCAATAGTTGTGTCTTAAAATTGCTACTAAAATGGCTCATTTTTATTATTGTCATTGAAGAAGAGAAAATGTTTAATTTTTGATCTTTAAAATTAAACAACAGTTCAAATTTGGAATGAAATGGTAGGATAGAAACAGGTCATAATAATTAGAATATTGAAGAAAGAGATTTCATCTGCAAGATGAACTTTCCAGGCTGTCTGCTCTTTAATCAATAGCATTGTTCACTGCATTGCGTCCAGACCTTTTCAAGTTTACCATTCATACACCTGTGATTTATTCGAAAATTTGCGTGATATTGATGTAGTACTAAGGTGACAAAAGGTTAGATATTGCCTTCTTAAATTCGTATTTGTGTATTCTTTCCATTTTGTAATAATATTGCGGCATAAGTATAGGAATAAAAAGTTATTGGTAGTAGTTAGTACATTGCCAAGCCCTGATTTCATTTAGCTATCCGTTCTCTCTATGGTTTGTCACTATCAGGACAGATTTATTGATCTAGCGCTGAAACTCTTAACTTCAATTCCGTTTAAGCTACAATCATACTCTATCGATTTTCATATTGACATGGGAGCTGTGTTATGCTGATTTCTATCATTTCTGCGATTTAAATAGCTGTATGAAGTGACGTCACAAAGCATTTTAAAAATAAGGCAAGGTAAACGGAAAGGTCATAGAAGTTAGAAAACACTGAAATAAAGACGGGATATGAAGTATTTAAAGGATCAGAGACAAGTGGAAGCGAGCATCATGAACCTAACCCATGGCGTCTTTGTTGCTAACAAATACTTGCGTTTTAGTAAATAAAATTAATAGTCTGGCCAATTTCCAATTTCTCTACTACAACGTATCTAGTGGTTTACTTAGCACTAAGATTGTATTCAAACAACGATATGTATCCATCTCTTTCCTGACTCTACCTAATCAGTTACCATAATTGTTTTATTTTCAAAGAGTGCCTCCTCCCTTTAGAGCAATTATTTAAAAATATCTGAAAATCAGATAAGCATTTCAAAAATAACCAGATAATTGCAGAGAGAGTCCAGTGACTTGAGGGTATTTTTTCATCAAACATCAGGGCATGCAACCATGCACTGTTAAGTCAACAAAAACAAATGCTCTATTCGAATGTGTTGATAATAAGCTAGAATGATATTTCGTAATATTTTTTGCTAACAAATCCTAATGAAATTCATTTTTCTCCCTAATCAGCGCTTTTTCACGTGGTAAAAAACATTTTTTTTAATTACTGATTGCATACTGATAAATCGTCTTTTTGGTAAAAGTTATCACTGTAACATGATTTTGTCTTTTTTCATATTTGTCTATTGCTGTTTCCCCGACTACCCAAGGCGTAAATTTTCGTGAGAAAAATGCCTAATTTGGATGAAATTATTCTGATTAGCTTTAATTGAAATCATTAAAACATATGGTTGATTAATTGTGCCATTCAAATAAGTGCATTGGTACTTTAGATGATGAAATAATTAAATTAGAGGTTATTGACAATGACGCAAGCTAACAGTACGTATTTTCCACTTAGAGTTGTGTAGACTAATTTCAAATATTAAGGCAATAAGTCTGTTCCGTTGAGAAGGTAGTCAGGGAAAATGTTCAAATTCATCAATTGATGCTAACTTTACGGATTCACAACCCTACCTAGATTGGTGACTTCACAGATAGATTAATTACTAAAGAGTGGTTTGCTAGACTTAACTCTCCCTATGCCTCGTCTGATGACTGCGGAATAATGTCTTTATGGCAGATCGTAAGGAACAAATTGGATTTCTCACTCATGCTCAGTAGAAATTGGTTCTATTATAAATTTTTGCCAGAGATATTCTTTTCTTGTATAACTTCAGCATTTGTGATTGCCTTTCCACTCGATTACTTGTCCATACTGTTAAAAATTAATAAGGACCATTATTTTAAAGTTTTTGGAATGGCCTTCTCTCAAAATCTTTCTATGTTATCCTGGCATTTACGTGCATCGGATTTTTGAGATGAGGAACTACAAATCCTGCAATAGTATCCCTTAATTCACCCCTTCTATTTAGACAGCGGTAGAGTGAGGTCATTTAATTGGCGGGTCGAATAGCGAAGTCTAATAACATGTTACTTAAAGCTGGTGCCAAAAATGATGGCATCGTTAATGCTTTTTTATTTGAGTTCCTCTGAATTCGACCATAAATGTGCTTATTCATTCTATAAACCACTCACTATCATATTTATATTCTATTGCCAAGTTAATCGCTTCTATATGTTCATATATGCCGATCGTGTTGTTTATATCGATCTGCCCTGCTTTACTCACTAAGTTTATTGGCAATGTCGATTTTCATTAACTTTCGAGGCCATCCAGGAAAAACGACATCGAATCGCATTATTAATATTATTCACCACATTGCAAAATAATAAAGAATTTTAAAAAACGTGAGTGTCGGAATAGCTATTTTACCTACAAAGTCCTGGCATTCCCCTTTTTTTATTACAGAGAATGTGGCTTCATGAAATCTTGCTGAGTTTACAAAAACGTATTGCTTATCAACTGTATGTAGTTTAAGCACCCTTGTCAGAAGCCTGTTTGTCTAAAACCATAGCCCTTCAGTCAATCTTAATTATTGGTCATTTTGATTCCCGGATTAGCTTCATGAGTATCAAAAGAGCAAATCTTTACTGGCTTGAGCACTTCATGGAGTATTATACTTATTCCCCGTTTCGATTTAGAAAGCCCATTTTTTGGAGTCTTCTGCGTTTCTTTCCATTTAACGTACTCTTCTTTAACTCCCTTTATAATCAAAATTCGGAATTAGAGCATGTCTGATCAGTCTTCGTTCTTGTACACTTTAAAACTTTTGCAATACCGTATAACGACTTTAATGACAAAATAATGAGTAAATTCAATTCAGTTATTCCTAATACATAATTGTGAATCGTTATAAATTCGGATATAAGTCTTATTAGTATTGTAACTTGCTTAAATTGATTATTTCAAATAAAGTAGGATTACTGGTACTAATCAGAACTTGTAAGTGGCTTAAATGAACACAAACGTCAATTTAATTAAATTATTTTGACTAAAAAGAAGAAAGAGACGTCACACTGTTGAATTAATTAATTATAACCAGAATGGTTAAGCTATACTCAGTATGATGAATCCCATAGGAACAGGAATAAAAATAATTAGAGAATCTAACTTGCCTATTAGTCAAACAAGTTTGTATGCACGACTTGGCTTCCAATTAGTAAAAAGAGGTAGGAAATCAAAGACTATGGCTTCATTGCCTAAATGAGCATAATTGTTGTTACCTTTAATATGTCGTTACTTTAACTTAAACGGGTTTTAACTTTGAAATATTCTGATCGATAAGTTGCATATCTGAGCTCTAACTTATTAGGAATTATAAGCAAGACACTCGAAAACTCCGTAGAGAACGCAATTTTTTTACCTCATGGAATTATTTTCCAACAGTTGTGATTGCTATGGTAAATAGTCAATGCGTATTCAGATTGTTGTCTCGAAGGGAGCTTTTTAATGATTAGATGATGAGGCCTGTATCACATTTCCTAAATGACCTGCAGTTTAGGGTTATGCAGTGTATTAATAAATCTGACAATAGGGCGATTTCAGACTTAGAAATGATTGATTTGAGCAGACCCTATTTTTATCATCAGATTGATGAGAAAATTTTAAATTTAGGCCTGAAGTAAAAGTGGCTATAATCTGGGACAAAGGCCTTTACGTCTCGGTATATTTTCCCATTTAAATGACAAGCTTTGGTAAGAAATTAACAAACGAAGAAATGAAAGTTGTGTCACTTATTTTGTTTCGATTTCAACTTACCCTAATCTATCTCCAAATTCAAATCTAAAAATATATTGATAAGATAGACTGCGAGACATACGGTGACAAAAATGGGATATTAAAACGAAGTATCTTGATTTAAAGAGTCATAGAATTTGTTCAACGAACTTAGAATTTACAAATAAGTCAACAACATAACTAGTTCCCAAAAATAAGCAATGCTTTGGTATTATAAAATATTGATAAATTCTTTATTTTTTACAGATTCTGACACTGGCAATCAAGCTAGTTGGCAGTCTGACTCCCCAGATGGTGCTAATGGCGAAACTAACGAAAATGCCGTTGGACTTCAAGATACTCCTCGAGGTATTCTCCCATCTTCGAAGAACGGAGTCACAACTGATTATGCAGGTGGTATTGGCGATGGTGTCAGTGCCACAGCTCCGATCGCAATGAGTGATCCCACCGTATCGATAGGCGAAGGATCATTTGATGAAGATAGCCCAGCTGCTGACTACTTCACTTATGATGAAAATCGTCGGTCAAATGTGAAAAAGAAGAATGATAAAGTTATTCGTAGACCCAGACTCAGTCCTCCATGTAAGTTGACAAATCAATATTGTGTTGCGCCACGCAGTACATAGCATCCCAATGTCTCAGGTAGCCTTAACATAACTGAACTGTAGTTCTAGAAGACCATTCAGACTAGGAAATGTGATGCGAAAGACAATATTAATTTATTGATGGTGAAGTTTGCAATATATTGATGACTACTTACAAAACATGCAAAATAACCTAGAAAGAACGCATTTTGACTACATCTCATCTTAATTTGGTTAATGGAAAGTACAACTTTTCTCAAGGTCTAATGAAATAACTTGACAACAATCCATAGTCAGTCATTACCCATTAAATGGCGTTTACCATATAATTGTCAAATTTGTTGGGTCATTAGTGATTTATTAGTGCAGCTTATCGTAGGCTTTTTCGCTTCGATTTGCCTTATCCTAAATACAATTCAGGAATTAGATTTTAAAAAATGTGATATTCTTTTTGGCCAATGGCTTCTACAACTTGTTTCATATGACCAAATAAGATAGGTTAATGCATTTTAATCATTTGTAATTAAGCACAATTCCAAAGAAAATAGGGAAGAATTAGTGGATAAGAACTTATTGGGAAAGTCAACAATTTGCAATTGGATTCATGCTTGAAAATGACCTAACAATGTGGACAAATTTATGTAAGAACAATGAAAAAAATATAGTTCTTGACTTCTCTAAAGTATACAGAATACATATACTCATCGAATGTGCGCGTAACTTAGTTACCAAATAAAATTGTTATAATAGAATCATGTGAAGCATTTGAACAATCGGGAAAAGGGTCTAGTGGAAGTTGTAGAGAAGAGAAACTTTCTTTATTGAAAAATGGCTTTGGTTTATAACGCCTATTCTGAAATGCAATTTCACGCCTACTTACAACTAGGTTTAGTATTTTAAGTATAGTGTAATAAATGGGAATTAATCTTGAAAAATTGCTTCAAATGTACGGTGATTTATTTTTAAATAGTACTTACATGTGTGGAGAATGGCGCTAAAAGTGGTATTCACTGGATCATAAAGAGTTTCAGCCATGAGTAAATTAGTCTGAGAATTATATCATGTAGTGGCTGCGAAAAAAATCGTTCTTTTAAAATCTACTTATTTAATTATTGCTTTGAAATTGGCCTTGAACTCCCTGATTTCTCTGCCTTTTTCTCGATATGGCCATAGCAATATTATGGAATCGCAGGTCGTGTGTTCCACATGCCATACATTGGCGGTTGGCATCTCTCTAGGCATCTACTTCTATAATAAACCGTCGTCTTATACGAACTCAAGTAATTGGCTGGCAAGCTTCATCAGGTCCACTAATTTGGCGCGTTAATGAATATTGAAAGGTCTGCAAATCTACCTTAGAAATAGCTGCTTAATAGCACATTAAAGAAGTCATTTACCAATAAAATGAAGCAGTAACTTGGTGTAAATGAATGGAGGTAAAGTTGAGTCGGTTCATAAATTCTGATGTATCATGAAAACTGATTAGACTATTTTAAACATATTATAAACGCATAGGTGGCTATGTCCATTATTTCATCACAGATGAGATTAACAAATGTAAATGAGATTTTATTTAAAAAAATTCAAGCCACAAAGATTGAATTAATAATGGTAAAAAGAAAATTTGGAACTAACTACACTTAGTACCGTGTCTGTAAAGTGATGACACTTGGACGCCGGGCAAATTCAAACATTTTTTTAATTATTTTCTCTTAGTGCCTCAGGACTCGTATAAATCAATTTTAATGAAATTCGATTTTGCCTAGTCGAAAATTTGTTTATTTGCTCGTGTGAGAAAAGAGTAAAGATGAATGAAAATTATTTTCGCACTCCCTTTGTAGAACTGCGTCGTTATTGGAAACGCACGAAACTGCCTTTACGTTTCAGTGTTCACTTTGATTATCGCACTTTTGGACCTCAAATTGCATTTTGAATTTTTTAAATATTAGGAGACTTAGTTTTGCAAGGGCAAAATTTTATTTTGAAAACCCTGGACCTAATCACAAAAAATGGCTTAGTGACTGAGCTTGATTTGAATAAAAATCAACTGAATCGCATTATCAATACGTCGCACATTAGTACTATTGTTCTTTTATATTATGTGCGAAGAGAGTTGTTTCAATGAAAGGGAGTTAAAATTGTAAAATAAAGACTTGCACTTAGCTCATTATATTCGGCGATAAATGTAGTCTTGGTCATAGTAAAACAATCTACATTCAGTTCTCTTTGCATACTTTTGTGATTGCATATTCGAAGAGCAATAGAAACATACAGAAGAAGTAACTTTATCCCATTATGTATACTATTTAGAAATCTGATATATCCTTGAAACTAGGCCAACGAGTACCAGTTTTTTCAAGGATGAATATACCTGCTAAATGATGTTCGCAAACTAAATCTAAGTATGTGTTTGCATTTGCTCTGCTCAAACCACAGTTTCATTCAATAAGATTTTGAGAGAAGAACTTACCCCCTAAAATATCTGCTATGATATAATTAATAGTGCTCAAGGTGTCTTTGCTTTACATGAATAAAGCTATATACCATTAGTATTATGGCAGTAAATCTACTTTGTCACTTTTCTTAATAATTCATTGGATTATTTCAAGTGTTTACAATTTGAATGTAATATAGATGAAATATTTAATTTTCTAACGCTCTAACTCCTTGTGTTCAACTATTTGTTCTATCATCATAATACTAATCACCTCATTGTGGTGGTTAATTTGATTAAAATAACAATACCCTACTGCCACTTCATTATTCATCACCCTTTCAGCTACCAAAAGTCGCCCTCTGTCGGATGCCATGCTAAGCAATCACTACTACGACAAAAGTGAGCTGCTTAGTCCCGACATGATTCCTGGACTTGATGGAGCTCCTGAAGCTCTTTTTGATCCCCAATTTCATGACCCCGGTTCGAGACCGACCTCCGTGGGGGTCTACTCAAACGATGACGAAGAGGTGGATGAAGATGAGGAATCATCCCTTTATGAAGCAGTTGATAGAAGGGCACGCAAGGTGGGAACTCTGCCACCTGCCCCACATCCACCTTCTTCTCCTCAAATCCCAACTTCTCCACAGCAGCATGCTAATGCCATTCAAATGGTTTGTCAATACCACTTATTTACTAATTGAGTAGACATAAATTATTTGAATCAAATACTAATATGATGCAGTGTTAAGTGCATCATTTAAACATTTCGTTTCCCAACTTATTCGCGTCTCTTGAAATAGAGAAAATTAAAATCCTTGCCAAGTAAGAGCACAGTGTTCAACTTTTAAAAGTCCAATAATTTGCCTTTGATGTGCGTAAGGATGATTTTATCGGTATTTTATAGATGACAGTGCTATGATGAACTTGAGTTTTCGCGATTCTTTTGATTATTGTACGACTGAATTATGCAGGTACTATTTTATCCAACAAAATTCATTTACTTTCACAATTACTAGGCTAGATTTCGATTTGTGGGTGGCATATTCTGTTGGCGTAATCGTTACTCTTGGAACGCTGGTAGAAATAATACTTGGCATTATGCTACTTATATGAAGCTTTTATACTTAAGTAGTCATTGATAGTTCGTGCAGTTTTTTCATGCTTTCAGTCCCCTAAACGATTAACTCATTATCGATCAATCATTGAAATTTCAAATTTAATGTATGACTATATGCAAATTTCTTACTGATTGGAATTTTAGCCGTATTTAAACCTTATTATTATTATGCTTATTATTAGCATTTTGTCGGCCCCATGACCACTTGGTCATACCATGAGTTGCATCGAAAGAAAACCTTTGCAAATTAACTCATAGCTAAATTCTTTGTAAGTCCCCACATATGCAATCAGTGAAAATTCTCTGACTTATGGTAGTTTCATTCAGTTTCATGCTACTCATAAGTTGTTTCGTAATTAAGTACTAAATCACGTTCATTTTATTTTTTTACCATTTACATGGGCATTTTCAGACTACAAAATCCTAGAGGTGAGTTTAATTTTGTCATTTGTTTTTATTACATTACGCACCTTCACCTTGCATCCACAACATCAACTATCATCCTGGTGCAACTGACGATTTTAAACTCCCTTTGTCATTGCTGTTGTCGAGCCAATATCTGCTTTATGATACTCTCCCAGCATGCCTTTTGCATTACCAGATTGAGTGTATCATAGTATAATATTTGAAATCTTATATCTATGCATGCTACTTGAGGGATTAAGTAATCGTAGTACTTTTGACACGAATATTTCCACGATTTTCGCAGAAGTGATATACAAAATGTATCCCATTTTATTTAGAACGGTAACATTTGCCAATCGGATACACATTGAAAAATGATTCATGAAAAATTTAAAGTTGAATTGAAAACACTATATTTTGGTACACACTACTTATTTATCCTCTTATATAATTCACTAACGTCATAAAGTAGCTAATTCATTCGTCAACGCCAAATTTCTAACATGATTAAATAGCTGACTTTTAATCCCCGGACAAAGTACTCCTTTACCATGCATACTTCGATGCTACATTTATGACCCAGCAATCAGTATTACAACAACTTTGTTTGCTTGATAATTCCGTGGACTTTGAACCCTTACACTGTTGCGTTTTGGAGTTAGTCTAGTTGACCTTGCTCCCACTCTGGGTCTTTGACAACTCCTTGTGATTCGCGTGGCTCCTTGATGAACGCCAAATTATGACCATGTGCAGATATAGAATCTTTTCAAATCGAAATGGTCACATAAGTTGTATGACATAAGAGTAGACTAAACATCGGTCAGTCAAATCAGAGATCTCGGGGATTAGAGCCTTTAGAGTGGCAGCAGCATTGTAGATGTAGGTCCAAGAAGAAGTAATGCAGATTTAAATTGAACTAAGCGAAGTTTCTCATCTAAACTTTTGACTTATATATTACTAATCATGCACACTAACGTACTTAAATATACCAAGTAAAAAGTAAAATTCAACTTAGCACTTGAAAATCTGTACATTTCTTCACATTTTGTGTTAACCAAAGTACAACTGATATCATTTACAAAATTTTAATTAATCATTCAAGTACAGATTAATCTACCCATTAAAATCTTCTATGAACATATATATAGTGAAGGGTAAACATCCAAAACAATGGGATCGCTGTATTCCCTATTTTAGTTATAAGAAAATATTTCATAGAATTATTTTTCTACAATTAGTTCAAATAGAACCTCGAGCATGCTTATTTCATGATTTTAAAAATATCTTCCTCAATGTGGATGCTTATTTTCCGGAAAAAAATCAACCAATCAATGTTTGCTATGATTCTACAATTTGAGTAGATACGCTTTTGGATCATGAATGCCTTAGCAATTGATAATGATCTTGACCCTCGTTCCTTTTAGTTCTCGAGCCGTAGAGACGCAGGAGGCCATGGATTCTCGAGCCCATCCAGATATCATCGACGTCAAGGAAGCGCTAAGATTGGCACCTCCACCAACGCATCCACTTCGACCTTGATCGGCGATGGTGACCTTCCGACTTTTTCATATCCTAATGACCTCCCACCCTATGCCAACCTTTGAGACTTCTTTTAATCACCCACCTCCCTCTTTTGTCACCTCTGTGCTTGTATTGGTTTGCTCACTCTCTCTCTAAGTAGGGCTGATATTCATATGCCATTACTTTTTATCATGTGTATTAAAGCATTACTACTGTCACCATTTGAATTATTGTACACTTCTTTTTGCGGCAAATGAACTTTTCGTCAAAATTATGTTCATTGCTTATCGCATGTATTTAAATGTTTACTGTTTGTAATGGAACTATATTGAAATAGCTGATGTTAGGTCATCTTAAAGCTCGCTACCAGTGTGGGATTTTCAATGGTTTGGAGGGTGTATTATTAGCTTGTTCAGATAAAACTTGGAGATAAATGCAACTGTAAAAAGAACCAATGCTCTAATGCGGTTCGAACTCCCCTTTTAATATAAAAAATGCATCGTCAAATGTGACATGATAAACTGCGATCAAGAATTGTTCACCTCTAGGTTGATAATCACCATTCATTGGTGCAGTATTTGACAAATCATTGGTTAACTATCTTACCTAGCCACTCACTATTGAATTTTAATGCCTACCATGACTCTAGTGCCTGACTGAAACAGTTCACTTGCAATTTCCTCACATTTAAAATGACGAATATAATGTATCCTAACTATTGCGAATTATTATTTAGTCAAAATAACTGGTTTAATTGACGTTTTGAGATTTTTATCTCCTAATTAGGCATAGTAACTAATTGAAATACAAATCTATGTTCGCGCAAATATCAGAAATGATTATTAACAATCCTTTAGATAAATAATAATGAAGAAAACATCACTCCCTAGTCCACACATATTTAATGTTGCAGACTGCCATCAAAGTACTTTTAAGTTGCAACACGGAATTGGTGAGCCATGTTTTAAGTTTCATAGTCAGACTCGAATAAGAAAGGGAACGAACGATAGGGATTTTTCGTTTAAACATGTAGTTTTAATTACAGTTACGGAGAAGAGAATTGTTTCATGTTGGACTTATATTCCTACAAATAGAGAAAAGAAGTAGTGAATTAGAATGATCAAAAGTGTATCTAAGTTTTCTCGCAAATAAGCAAATTTTGCATTTATGTTGATGTTCTTCAACAATCGGTTTTCAAATAAGTAAAGGATGCTACAATTCAGTTATATCTGCGATAAAGGTAGTTGGAATGCCAAATATTTTCATGATACCAAAACATTACATGGGGGGGGGTGTATGGACAGTAAATGAAACTTTTATGAGGTAAGAATGAGAATTTAGACATTTTAAAACTTGAAAAATCATTGCTTGGAGCTGAAAAAATTTACTAATAAATCACAATGTTGTTACATTTAGCTAAGTATATCTCACTTTAAATAAAAATCATTTTCATTACTTCATCCCATTTGAACCAGTGGATCATTTCTTTTTGCCACCCTTAGATTGATACTTATATAGTTTTAAGTAGTGCTAATTGAAAAGATTTTAATAACACCATGATTTCTCATTTCATCATCATTGCGCAAGGTATTGCAATTAAGAAGTAAAGATGGGCAATGGCAAAGGAATATATGATTTAAAAGATTGATAAATGTACCTATGTGAATATTCTAATATCTATCAAGAAGTATGCGTTCAAAGTATGTTCCTAACGAATGTTAACAATATCTAAATGGAGAAAGAAATAAAAATGGTTGAAAAGTTTATATCTAGGATGGATATAAATGGTCATTATGCTTTTTGAAAGTGATACTGCTTGCAACAAATCCAGTTTTACCTAAATTTATTGTTTAAAATAAAGAGCGCCTTCGATAATGGCGCAGTTCGAAAATTTGAGGTGAAGTTAAACTTAACTGTTAATATAATAAAGTAATATCAATCAGGTCCACATAAAAGGAATTTGTCATATCACTCTAGCATGAAAATATGCGCATTTATTGACAAATAAATTAGGTTAATGCGCCAAATATTTCCGTATTAAAAGGCTATTATTTCATCCCGTCAGTATATAGGGGTGTCGAATGTCATCTGCATGAGAAGATTTTTTGAGAATATTAGGTCACCAAATGGCACGTGATTAGTGATTGATTATGAAAAAATTACTTTTCATCTAATAAGAAATGAGCAAATTATTCCTTAGTTAGTTCCACATTGTCAAGCCCTAAACTAATAATGTATAACTTCGAGAGGTAATACGAGGGATCTCTTTGAGGGTGAAGGTGGGCTAAAGAAAACATTCAATTACTACGGAAATTTTTGTATATAAAGACACCTAAAGTGTAATAAACACGACAATTTTGACTAATAAAACGAACAGAACTAGAAAAAGTAGTACATTTTCTTATGATAAAAGGTTTGTACTAAATCGTAGTATTTGATATTTAAAAATAAGTTCAACTTTTTGAACATAGATATTTCTAAAATCTTCATATAAAAAAATGCGATGAATTTGCCAGAAGCTAAAACGATCTAAGACAACGAAATGCATGAATTTATTAATTTTTTACCACTTCACAATATCAATAAGTCATTTTATCCAATTAAATTTATATAATAGACATATTCAGTCATAAATTGAGCACAAATTGCAGTACCTATTTTGATGTCAAATAATTAACATTAGGAAATTCTACTGTTTGTATAATTATATCAGAATATGTAGAAAGATCAACAATAATTATACTTGTACTTATTAACGTTTATATGTTTTTCACCATTACGTTAGATACAAGTGTTCTATACTCCTTAAAATATGTTAATTCAAACAAAACTGTATAAAGTGTTATTACTAAGAGAAATCTAGATTTAGATCAGACATTCAGAACTTGTATGTAAAATTTGCGCTGTACAAACTCTACTCAAATTTAGTTGCAAATTTAGCATAGTACGGCCATTTCGACCATGAGAAAAGGCCAATTAGAATTCAGGCAAGTTGATCAGTACGTGTCGACGCTGTGTATCTGCTCTTGGATTTAACGGATCAAGCTAGAGCGGACCAATAAACAGGCTCCCTTGAAGAAGTTTAAGCGCTAAGTATAAATCTTCACGATTGTATATAACTCCTCCACAGAAAGCCACTCTTCCTCTTATGGATAAAAATATTCATACGATTTTATCAAACAAGGTAGATTCATTTTGATTTGTCACTTTGATCTCAATTGATTGGATCACTGCATTTTGCTTTTTTGGCTCAATAAATTTATTTGCCACATATTGCATTGTGTGCGCGTTTTTGTCCATTTTTTTGTTACAGCGATCGCATGATCCGTTCGAATTTATTTTAGCGGATTTTCGTTGCTCCAAGTGAATCAGATCTCGAATGTCTCAATCAGTGTTTAGCTCAAAGACTGCTGGCTGGTCAAGGCGAATGTTTCGTAGAAATAGGCGTTGGAGGTAGGCTTTCATTTTGTTATTTTACAACAAAGGGCATACAGTTTTTCATGAGCTTTGTGAATCAGAATTTGCTCTAATATACTCATTTGTTCCTCTTTTTCCAAGCTTAATATTTTTGTGAATTTTAACCATTCGATGTTTTTAATTATTCATTAATATTTCATCTTATGAACGTTGGCTATTTAATCACAGTTTCTACCTAAAAAATATGCCTGTTTGATATTAAGCTAATATTATTGAATTATATTTTGTGAGGTTCCCTTTGTTCACAAACATTCAACCAGTTCGTTGCACATCGATGGCTTTATATGTTGTCCTTTAATATATTGAAGCATAGTAGGTCACTAATCCACTAACCTTACTGATCAGCGATGTTAGTTAAATGGCGTTAAAGGATCCTTTCAAACCTACATACAAGTTTTTATCAGAGGTGATTGATATTCTTTTTAGTACCTACTCTTCTGCAAGATGCTGGGTTATGAATGAGCTCTGAATTGCTATTACTCTTCTTAAATGAGTATCTGAAATCAGAGGCTTAGATTGTGAGGCAAATATGATTATTAATCACAACGAATGACTTCGCAAATTGTCATTCTGTTACACATTTAAATGTTTGAACTTTTTTATCCTTTACTAGAGGGGCAAGACCCCGGTATCTCACCCAGCGACATGGCTGCAAGTGAAGCCACTCTCCAATCACTCGCAGAGAAACTAAATGCTCACGTGATCCACCTGCGCTGTCGTAATGTCTCCTCTCATCCTGGATCATCGAATACCACGTCGAATAGCACTTCAAACCCTGTACCAACAAAGTCAACTACACCTATAGCTAACAGTGACACTACTGCCACACAGTTCAAGAAAAAAAAAAGTGGCCACAATTCTTTTGGCACGGTCACTTCTACTTCAAACGAATCTAACTCGTCCTCCACTGAAAAGACTTCTTCTCAATCCACTACAGCAACAAGTGGAGGTGAGTGGATAGTGAAGGATTTTCTATTGCGTCAGGTCATTAGCGAACAGGACTTCATCGACATTCGAGTGGCAGTGGTGGGTAATGTGGATGCGGGAAAGTCAACAATGCTTGGTGTTCTTACGCACGGGGAGTTGGATAATGGGAGAGGTAAAGTGAGACAGTATCTATTCCGCCACAAGCATGAAATCGAGTCAGGTCGAACGAGTTCTGTAGGAAATGATATCTTGGGATTTGATGCTGATGGAGTTGTTGTGAATAGGCCTGTTCATGGGAAACTTGATTGGGCTCAAGTCTGTCAGGAAGCTACCAAGGTGAGTTGAGATCGATGCATTTATTTACTTTCAATTTATATGCCTGGAATGAATTTGCGCAGGTAATTTTACCTCACCTGAAACTGAAATGCGTATTTACTGGTATTTCTAAATGTGCATAAGTCAATGTTCAATTTGTTATTCCATGTTGCTAACACGTTCTATAATGGTGTATCCGTTTATTAATTGATTTTCACTGTATTTAACAGTATTTTGCACTGGTTTGTTACATAATGAAATATAAGGCATTTAAAAGGGTCAGTAGATGCTAGGGTGATTTTGATAGCTATTTGCAAATATATCTTCGTGGATTTTTTAATTTTGGCTTTTCTAATTAATGCTACCTCGTGGAAAATTTTCATCATGGCGAATAAGATTAGAATGGACTAAAATGAGGGTCTGGAGTGGAGGTAAGGCCGGGGTGGGGTGGGGGGGGGGGGGGGGGATCAATAGAGATAGGTCATTAAATCAGGTCGTCAGAAGGTTTCCACTTTATTTAAATTTTAGGTTAACTAAGCCATTTGTCTTCTAGTTAATGAGTTATCTCATGGTCTAATGAGAATTGGCGACATTTGCTCTTTGTTCCTGTATAAATTTTTTTGCAGTATATCGATCTGTTGATTGAAATGAGAAATGTATTATGCCTTATCGACTCATTTGCATTTAATAACCTGAAGTTGGTTGCTTATTCTAGCTTTAATGGTTTCAGTAAAACTTTGCAACTTCAATGTGTTCCTCATGTTGATCGTTATTTTCTATATTCTATTGTTAAATAATTTTTTTATGGTTTAATATGTTCTCTAAGCGAAGGTGTTTGATATAAAATTCGCATCCATTTTGTGAATAGAAGTACTGACTTGAGTTTACTTGCTGTTTATCACATTGAAAAAATATTCACGTTACTCCCATGACTCGTAAATGTCTATTCCTCCTAAATTAGCTTCAAAAGAATATATTTATTTATATCAAATGGCAGGCGTTTTGATAGTTATCACTAGGCCTTTAGTTGACTTCAGGCTTCACAGAGAGGAAGGTACATCAAAGTGAAAAGGTCGAGAGGGGGGGGGGGGGGAGAGGGAAGAGAAGAGTGTTTCAAAGATGTAAAAGAGATAGACACAAAGTTGGAAAAAAAGGTGAGGTGAGTACGGTTGAAGTAGTCGAATTTGACATACAGTGGGGTGATGGTAGTTTGGAGTATGAAGTCAACTGCCGGTTAATAGACGTTGCCCAGGGTGCACCACGTGGATGTAAGTCTATAGCACACCCCTTTCTAAAGAATATCTAAAATGCCATTATCTGTTACGTTTGTGTGAAATAGCCATAATCAAGAGCATTAATTAATTATCTCATGTCAAGTAGCTATCCAAGTCATTAAAGAATGTCCTATCAAGGCTTAACTTAAGTAGGGACCAACTATCTTCCTTAATGTTAACTTGTCTACTAATTCTCGTGATCATTTTTTTGCCATTAACGTGATTAAGTATGCACTGATGAGCATATTTTTTAACACTTTCTTGACTATCGTAGCGTTGATAGCTGTACCAAGGAAACGCCCTTCTATCGAGTTCCTTTCAATGTATCTTATATTATCTTGAGATAATCTAAATATTATCCTCACCACTTATATAAAAAGATTGTCAAATTTTAGATTTGCATAGGTCTGTAGTCATTGTTGCCAGATCTCGCTTTTGTTATTTTGTTCATCCCTCTAGGGCTCGGTTTAACATATAGAAGGTGCTGTTTACATAATAATTTATTTGAATTTTTCTCATTAAATGCTAAATTCGCAACTCACCCATTCAATAGGTATAGTTTAAACTGGTCAGTTGCAGCGGTAATTGTATTAGCTCAAGTTTGTGTTCTTAATTTAAATGTCTTTAAGTAGATATAATTAATGCGGTTTAATTCGAATTTAGATCTCTATTGACCTTATAATTACAATAAGCATGACGATCTCATTGATTTACATCGTCTATTTCATACTCTATCCTCAAGTTTATGTAATCTCAATTTTATCCATATTACTAATTATTAAAATGACACCTATTTGGTAAAACTGTGCAAGCAAATACTGGATTAATCCAGTTATCTAAAATGCCTGTTTTGGTGTAGTCGAAGTTTGGCCCTATGATATTCTTTTGCGCTCTTTGATTTAATAACGCGGCCACTGTTGCCCACATTCAGTACTATGAACTCGAATCTTCCATACGAAAGGGCAACCACATAAATAGGCTCTTGACATTTGAGTTCGATTAACTGTCTATAATTAGCCAGTTGTATAACGGTGATATTGACATTGTAAAGATGTGCCTACGGAACTTAATCTCTTTGCATAAGTTCACAAATTTCGCTCAGTTGCATCGTAAATATTTGAATCTTTACGTAAAAATAAAAATTTCGTTTTATGTTATATTTTCATTAGTTTCGAAATAAGGATTCACCTTAACTTTTTCAAAGTGAATGCATAATATTTTCGGCTATGCTATGCAAAGTTCAATTTGTCCTTCCCAGCTGGTATATCGACTTGCAGATCGTAAAATTTCATTTTTTCCCGTAAATTCCCACCTTCATCACCTTTATCAGAATTATTAATATAATTTTCCAAAACCTTTCTTCTGACTTTTATTAACGCAGTTCTGTTTATGCTGGTGTTTCTGATGCCCAATAGCCTTTTGACGCACTAGTTCCAACATGATATTTGTGAGTTTTGACAGTTTGAACTGCATAATTATCGTGTATCTACTTTTAACAGTTGATTCAAAAGCGTGAAGCACTGTTAGGTTATACTAATCCGAGATAGCTTAAAATTCTATCATTAAATGATCCCAGTTTGTTTAATTATAATCTTGTTTAAAGTTTGGCATTAATTATTTGTGTTCGTTATATTTCTATTTCCGTAAAATTGCTCTAATGCAATTGTCATCAGCTTAGTAGTCTCATAGGCAGAAATTCCGTACTAAAATTTTATTAGGCCTCTGCAAGGTTGCTTATTTATTTGTTTACTTCTACCTCCAACCTATGAGGGATAGAGGGGTCAAGGCCGTTTTCACGTGACTAAACATACATTTGGGTTTTTGCCCAAATATTTTTCCATATCACAGAAAGTGCTTCACATCAACCTCCCAGTCATAAAGTTTGGATAATTAATTTCCAAAAATTCCAGTGAAAACATTTACTTAGTTCATTTAGTTGCCTTGACTACTATTATTTGTTTCAAATGGCAGACGTTTTGATAGCTATCATTAGCCCTT